GCCCAGCCCACATCTCCACCAGCCGCAGGTGACAGTGGAGGACTCAGACGTGAGCGGGAAGGGACACTTGGAGATGGACTCAGAGTAGGGTGCAGCTGCGGGGCTCCAGGGCCATCAGCAGCATCCGCAGCCTGCGCGGCGTGTAGGGCGGGTAGCGGATGGAGTAAATCTTCTCCATCCCAGGGCGGCACAGCAGGCAGGCGCGGTGGTGGGAGAAAGTGTCGAAGGAGAACTTGCCGTGGTAGCTGCCCATCCCGCTGGCACCTGTGCAGTGGCACGGAACGCGACAGGCCCTTAGCCAGCTGAGGTGGCATCAGGCAGACCTCGGCTCTGCCAGTCACACGCAGTGTGCCCGGGTAGGCTACTTCGCCCCCTCCGAGCCTCGGCCTGCCCATCTGTAAAGAGGGCTGATCAGGAGAGTCTGTGGGTAAAGGGCTTAGCCCTGAGCCTGGCCCCAGCTCCACAATCATTGAGGGTGCCCGGTGCCCTGCCAGGCGTTAGGACAAGCTATGTAGATGGTGGTCAAGAGTGTTGATTCTGGAGCGACTGCCTGGGGTTGAATCCCAGTTCTGAACTATTTCTGTCACCTTGGGCAGGTGACTTCGCCTTGGTCTCCTCTGTGACATGTGGTGACAGTGGCACCCACCTCCTAGAATTGTGAGGATTGGGCAAGTGTTCCGACCCGTGGACACAGGGCGCTCTGTTGTGAGTCCCGAGTCTAGGTAGGGATGCAGTCAAGAACCCAGTAGCATCTGCACTGGAAAGTCCAGGGGGCCCAGCCTGGAGGAGCTGGGGGCAACAGGGAGGGCGTCCTAGAGTGAGTGAGGCCTGAGGGATGTGGAGCTGACCACATAAAGAGGGCGGGTGTGGGCAAGAGGGACCCGGGGTTGGCGACAACTCAGAGAGCCTTGGAGGTAGGTGACCTGTAACATGTTAGGACCTGGGCAGAGCTCAGTGTGGCTGGGGCAGCAGGCAGGGCAGTGGACAGAGGAGGCTGGAGCAGGACACTGTGGCCAGACCAGGGTGGCCGGCCCCAGAAGCCATGAGTCAGCGACCTGGCATCATTCTTCAGGGGCCTGCGAGTCCAGAACATGTCCTTTGGGAGCAGCAAGGTCAGGTTCATGCCCGGACAGACCCCACGCTTCCTTGACGGGGAGGAGCTTAGAGTAGAGACTGGTGGGCTGCAGAAGGGGGTCCCAGGGTCAGGACAGCAGCAGTGCCTTGGCTCTCGGCCTGCTGTGTGCTCCCGGGACACTAGCCACTCTCCAGGAAGGGCCAGGCCCTGCTGGTTGCTTCCTCTTGTTCCGAGTGTGGACAAGTGGAAGGATCTCAGGTCCCCAGCCCTGCCACTCCACTGAAGAGGAAGTGGCTACCCCTGACCACGCCACCTTTGGGAGCCAGGCCTTTGCAATGGGGGCTGGAGAAGGGGCGTCTGCACTCGCTTGGGGCTCCCTTAGGGTGAATGGATCTGGAATCACTCCTGTCTGCTGGGGATGACGTGCTGAGGGTTGAACTGGGGACATGTGTTAAGGGAGCGGTATGTAGCCTCCCAGGAATAAAGAGCATGGACAGGCTGCTCTGTGTGTGCAGACGGGCAGACTCAGGGACATGGGCGGAGAGCAGCAGCACCCTGGACAGTCATCGCAGTGTGTCTGTGCGCCCGTCCACGTGTGGAAAAGGCTCCTCTCCAGACCGCAGAGGGGAGCAGGGTGGAGGCGTTGGTGCCGTTCAGTCAGGTAAGGTAAGAGAAGGCAGGGCTCTGCCGCTACCTACCCACTCCTCCTAAAGGCAGGCTGGTGAGGGTCATGTGCATGAAGCCGTCGTTCCCACAGAAGCCCCCGCTGCTGGTCCGGGCCAGCACCTGCTTGACCACCTGGGAAGAAGCAGCAATGAGGCTAGGTGGCTGGGCAGCAAGAAGCCAGGTCCCAGGAGCTATCCCCAGGTCCCAAGGGCTCTGCCCAGCCCCCTCAGCGCCCTGGAAGGGTTCCAGTTCACCATGGGAGTTGAAGGGGGTCGGGGGACAGGTGGAGGGCATGGCCGCATAGCAGCCTGCCACCGAGCTCCGGACTCAGGACGTGCTGCTCTGTGCAGGGTGCTGGGGACAAAGACTCAGGTCCCAGGGGGAGGCGGGTTTGCCTGGGGACATGGATAGTGCACGGGAGGTGCCGAGTAGTCAGGGAGGTGTCCCAGAGGAGGGATGTGACGTGCCTGCCGAGTCTTGGGTCGGGGGGGGGGGGGCGGCAGGAGTCATTCAGGCAGATAGAGAAAGAGGGCGCCCCAGGCAGAGCGAAGGGCAGGTGGGGAGGCCCGGGGACGGAAATGGGGGCAGGCTGTGTGGTACGTAGCACAGGGAGGTCAGACTAGACCACATGGTCACATTGGTATTTTAGACAGGTGAACTTGGTTTTTGCTTGAGTTAATGCAGGCCCTTTCTCTTCAATCTTTAGGTTTACCTGAAGAATAAGAGGAAAAAAGATTACTAGACACTAAATAGTCGTTCACGAAAACTTCACTATATTAAGTTAGAGCGTGTAGCCTTCAGATACCGGCTGGGATGGGGTTCATTTGATGGTGGGGAGGGCAAACTGCCAGTCGGTGGGCTCAGAGGTCACCTCAAGACCAGCTGTAGTGACACAGACGACAGAGTGGGGAACATTAGTGCTTTAGGAGGCGTATGGGCACGTCACGTGGAGTGCGGCGTGTGTCTCGGGTGTCACTGTGTCCTGGGATTAGTGCTAGGCAGTCAGAAAAGCTCGAAAGCCTCTCTGCCAGATGATCCCTATTCCAAAACACCTGTGCTGCATTTTCGAAAGTGAACATAATCCACATAAACCAGGGCTCTTGGAGGAAGAGCTCATTGTAGGGCTGGGCAGAGAAAATACAAGATGAGCTTGAAGCATCTTGTAGACCCAGCAAAGAAGGAAGTGGTGAAGAGGACGAGAAGACGGGCGGGTCTCGGGCACGCAACAGCTCCCAGGGCCCAAAGTCGGGAAAACCAAGCAAGGACACAGGGCGGCACTGGATCGTAACCCAGAGAATAAAGCAGGTGCACACGTGTCCACGCCGACACTGACAAGAGCCACATCTCCCTTACAGGTTCCAGGTAGCATGCGTAGATGTCCCCCTTTGAGCAGGTGGAGATGAGTGACACCCTCGCCCATCGAAGGCTACACTTTGGGAATGGAGTAAGGAAAGGAACATTGGTCGCTACTCATGGAGACCAGTGGCAGACACGACCTTGGCCGAGCGGTGAAGGTTAACCTCACCGGTGACGTGTGGATCTTGCGGATCCCTCATAGAGTGGGCAGACCTCAGCCCTTGCCTCTGCTGTGTTCTTCCATGAGAAAAACAGCAGACCGCTGACATTGAGGACTTGGGGCAAGAGACCAGGCTGGTACCCCTGAGGCTGAGAGACGGTCACAGGCTGGGGGACCCCTAACAACTAATGCACCGTGGGACCCTGGCGTGGATTCTGGGGCAGGAAGGAAAACTGGCGTAATCTGAATCAAGTCCAGAGGGCGGTTACCGGCAACGTGCCAAGTTGGTTACTGAGTCATGACCAGTGTCAGGGCCCTGAATGGGAGAACTGGGCGTAGCGTATATGTTCCCTGGGTTACCGCAGCAACATTTCTGGAAATCTAGTTATTCCCAAATAAAAAATATATTTGAAAAACATCGCCTAGTCTGAGAGGGATCTCATCAGAGCTGGGCGGGAAGGGGAGATGTGTCCTGCCCCTGGGCCCTTGAGGCTCCCAAGCTGTCCCCAGAGGCTTGAGCAGAACAGGGGCCAGAAGGGAGGGGACGGAGATGACCAAGGTGCATTCTCGGCCTGCGTGTCCTGCTCACTCTTCCCAGTCATTCCACCCCATGTTGTGTGCGCCTTCCATGAACCAGGCATTGAAAGGGGACACTGTGACAACCAGGCCAAGATGAGGAGGAGGAAGGGAAGTGGCACTGACCAAGAGGGGACACTGGACCCTGGAGAAAATCCTGGGGAGCTGCCCACAGGAGAGTGTGGCCCAGAATGGAGGGAGAGGGAGGCCCAGCTGCTCCCGGAAGACGGACAGACGGAGAGTGCCACCATCTAGAAACCCCCGTGACTGCCTCACAAGGGCCAGGACCTCCTATCCTCCTTCCAGGCCCCTTGGTCCAAGCTGGCATCTGCCCCTGCCTCTGCCCAGTCCCTGCTCAGTCCAGCCTGAGCCCCCACCTGGCTGCTGTTGGAGAAGGCATACAGGGCCAAGGGCTTCTCCTGACGGCTGATGACATCGATGGCCTCGTCCAGGCCCCTCACGTTCATGATGGGCAGGATGGGCCCGAAGATCTCCTCCTGCATCACCGGCTCCGTGTCCTGCACGTCCACCAGCACCGTGGGGGCTGCCCGGGCACAGGGGCGGCTCAGCCCAGGGCTGGGGCCTCGGATGGGAACCAGGGACCCAGGGCTCCAGGCTCGGGGGGTTCTAGGGAATAAGCGGCATGGACGGGGGCCTGCGGGGCCCAGAGAACCCCAGCTTTGGTCTTACAGTCAGAGGTGGCTGGATCTCAGACCCCTAGAGCCCGAGGTCCCAGGTCCCAGGTCCCAGCCTGTTGGAGCAGCAGTGTCACCGCTGAGCCCTTCGGCCCGGGAGCCGGGGGCTGCTTTGTAATGACAGCTCCGTGGGTGCTCAGGAGGGGCCGTGGTCACAGCTCAGACCCGGAAATCGTGGGCTCCCAGGGCCGGGGTCACGGTGTCAGGCGGAGGCTGGGACGCTGGGGCCGGCTCAGAAAAGCAGGGCCTGGGCCAGAGTGTGGGGTCGCGGGGTCACAGGCCCAGACCACGGGGACGTGGGCATTGGTGCCCAGGACTCCTGGCAGCGGAGCCGTGGACTGAGCTGGGCTCCGCAGGGCCGAGGTTTCGAGTCGGGCCCAGACTCGGGCCCAGCGGTGGGCGCAGCGGGGCAGGGCCTCAGCCGGGGTGCGGCGGTGGGCGCACGGAACTCACCGATGTAGCGCTCGCTCTCGTCGCTCTGGCCCCCGATGGCCACGCGGCCACAGTCCAGCAGGCCCCGGAGCCGCTGGAAATGCTTCTCGTTGATGATCCGGCCCAGGTTGGGGGAGCTCTTGGGGTCTTCGCCGTAGAAACGGGTGATGGCATTCTGCAGGGCCGGCAGCAGCCGCTCCTGCGTTTCGGGGCTGCACAGGACATAGTCGGGGGCCACGCAGGTCTGGCCAGCGTTGAAGTAGCGGAAGAAGGCCATGCGGTTGGCCACGGTCTGGGGGTCGCAGTCGTTGTCCACGTAGCAGGGGTTCTTGCCCCCCAGCTCCAGCGTGACAGGCGTCAGGTGCTTGGAGGCAGCGGCCATGACAATCTTGCCGACCCGAGGGCTTCCTGGGGACATGGGAGTTGACTGCCATTGTCAGCTGACCTTGGCCAGGTGGCCCAGGCACCATCTGAGATCCACGCCCAGCCCTGCCGCCCCAGGTTCCCACCCCTCCAAGGCCCAGAGGCCCGGCTGCCCGCCACCTGGGGTGCTGCCCACCTCTCGGCACAGCCTCCTCCCCCCACTGCCTTCCTGACCCTGCTCTCGGAGGTCCCTGCTCCCCCAGGACACTGGCCGGGGCTACCCTCACCTGTGAAGAAGATGTAGTCGAACTTGTGTTCCAGCAGCCGCCCCGTCTCCTCGGGCCCGCCCCGC